CTATGTGCAAACCTACTCGGTCTTGACTCAAATCGGCTCTGAAAATGGCGTGTGCTACACTACCATGCATAACCTAAACGACCGTTTAGTGTGGCGTCAGTGTACTTTGTGGCCTCGATAAAGCTCTCGTGTCATGGACTTGTGTCTCCTTCTGACTCGACGTGATATTTGAACAAGTGACAAATCCTATGCGGAGGTGTTCTTTCCCTAAAGAAGCAGGAATTTACTGTTATTTGTAGCCTTCTGCGTTTCTCTGCTGACCTTACGCGGACCACCACTTGTTTTGACGTTGGATGAATTTTTTCATGCCAGACTTTCATACCTTACAGCGATCGCATCAAGACTAATTTGTTGTGATACTTTTCTGCTAACAACGGTGTTTACGGTATCATTTACGAAATGTGACCTAAGCTAACCAGTTAGTCGACAAATTTTGAAGGGAGAAACTAGGACTCGAAACAATGCGTTTCCGCATGGTTTGACTTGAGAACGGAGAAAATTTTGGTGGAATTAGTAGCCAGGAAGAAGGCTGAAATGGATTTGCATGCAATCAAGCACTCCCTCCCTCTTTCTCGTGATTTCAGGATCTCCTTGGAGCGGCGGGTGCATCCTCTCCACCTGGTTGGAGTCTGAGCGTTTCCCCCCACGAGTTGACTGACTACCTCCTCTGTGCAGTGGCCTTCATCAATTTCATTTGCTCCTTCTTCTCCGATCGGAGAGTGCCAAAATTGGGTTCTGCCAATGACTTGCTCTGTGTGGCCTCACACCCGAACGCTAGCGGTGACTACCAATGTCAGGACGTGTTGGTGCTGGGAGATGATGATTTCACGTTATCCAGTGAAATCGGAAAGGACGACACTGAAACTGCGCAGGTAATTCAGGCAACATACCTATTACTGGCTATCTTATTTTGACACGTCTGCCAAACGATTGATTTGATGACCACAAAAGCGCACCACAGGCACCTAAAAGTAGGCGTGAATAGATTTACCGCCTGGTGTAGTTAGTGATTCGGCGCTCAGTTCACCATTGTGTTCGGTGTTATTAGATTCACTCCATCTCTTTTTTTGATACCAGTTACAACACTAGGTGTATTCGCAAACGGGAATGGCAGTTAGCTGAAGAAATCAGTGTTTTCCTTCGCTGCATAAAGTAGTGGGCTCCGTTTCATTTACGATTTCAAACATTATTAAAATTTTCCTGTGACTACTGCGTAATCTGCTGATCGTGTCGTAGAGCCTTGCTCTCAGTCGTTCCCTTTTCCTTGTCCCCTCTCACGTGTGTCCACAGCGCAGTCCCAGACGACGGTGGTAAATGACAGAAACCGTTCATTTCCTCGCGCCACTTTTAACCGTGTCTTTTTTAAGTTTTTAAACGGGACCGTAGCATTTCACGCAGTATATATGAGTGAATTTAAGCTATTCAGGAGTAATTCCAGTAATTGGTTAGCACTTTTTAGTATGCAAGTTTGCGCGGTAATTATCTCCACCGATAATTCCATCATGTAGGTGGCTGAAGATTTATCATGCGAGCTTACTTTGGAGAGGTTATCAGCAATGCAAGCATTTGTTTTTCTTTAGCCCCTCTGTCCCGAAAAATATGCCTCCTTTCCTTCCAGAATTACCTTTTTCTGGGTCACTAAGTAAGTTTTTTTTCACGTAATCCTTCCCGGTTTGCATTCTCTCGAAGGCGTAATGATTTGAACTAACGTGCTTTAGTGCTAAACTCACTTCCACCATCAGAAAGCAGTCGTTTCTTCAAAAGTGGTTCTCCGACTGTTTCAGACTAATCATCAAGGGCTACAGGAAAACCCTGAAGATTTCTGATCTGTGGGTATTGGAGGATAAACACATCTCCGCCGGTCTCGGATCAAGGTTCTACCCCCGGATCGCCAAGTACCTCCGGGTCAGCATTTCTGGAGTCATGGACTCGTAAGTACACGTCGCAAGAACCTCGAAAATGCCAGTGGAGCCTAATGCTAGATTTCGATCTGCTCCCATGGCTGTATCGGTTGAAGTTGAGACATGTTTCTATTGACGAGCGAGTAGGATTACCACGAACGTGCGTGATTTACTCCTTCAAAGAATTTGCCCCCAATGCGACAACCAATCACAAGCATGGATAATTCTTTGCTCATTAAATTAGAGTCTTTACCAGTTTTGCTAGCCTGTAATCAGTTGATCCCCGTGTTTCGGCTCAACAAATGTATTCAAGAATGATTTCCGTTAGCAAATACCCCATTTTCACTAAACCATTTCCTCTGCGCTCTATAATCCACTTTACATTCCCGTTAGATTAGCACGTTTTGCGATGTTAATGGGTGTGACAAGTGATTGGCCGCTTTTTATAGTCTTAGCTTTTTTTAATAACTGATGGTCGACGTCTCACCAAATAAGTTAAGGTTTCTTTTTGGATTGGATGCAAAGATTAAATACGAAGGAAGCTCCACGATGCAGTAGCTCGAACTTTAATTCGTTAGTTCACCCGCTTCTCGTATTTCTAGGTCATTCGTGTCCTCGCCTAACTTTGCAGACAGCCCGTCTAGTCTGGATCCTGCTTTCAACCTCTCCTCCTACGAGGAAAAGTCGTCCGGGGGATCTCTCGGCCAGACCAAGGACGCTGTGAATGCAACAAAACTTTCTACGGACCCGCACACCGGTGGCAGCCGGAACAGCATTGCTAAAGTCAGTGCCTTTACCAAGTCACGAAACCGACCAGACGACCGAAGGTCGAGAAGACAGAACTCTGTTGGAGATGTTGGCATTGAAAGGGAGGAGGATGAGGAGAGTGCGGAATGGGTAGAAAATGGTTTTGGCAGACAGCAAGGTCGCAAACATGTGCCAACGCAACCGGATCAGGGAGGGAAACCACGAACATTTACTTGTAAGGTGTTTTCCTCCTTATCGCGCCAGTCTCATGATCTAGTGTTTCTTAACTACAGGGATCTGTGTACTGCCAGTTATTTACTCCCAGTAGCTTTTATCATACGAACATGAACCTGCCTTGAGAGTTAGGTCAATGAATTGGACGCACGTGTGTCCTAATTGTGGCACTTGTAACCGTAATGTTCGAAACAATATCTACAAGCTTGGACAAACTTCAAATTTCTTTTTGATTCATGACAACTTCTAGTAACCTCTATCTCGTCAAATGATGAAATTCGTTTCGCCGGGCCATTTGGGAGGACAAAACCTCAAGCGAAGACATCAATTTCCGGAGACTTCGAGAGTGGACTTCTGGTGGAGAGTGAGGTAAGCGATGTTTGTTCGGCACTCAGATGGTAACTTTTGACCCCTCAGCGTCAGACTATACTTAAAACAAACCAGTGTTTTATTGATCGATCGGATGTCGTCTCAGAAAATCACGGTCCCATTCAAAACGTTTCGACGAATATTTCTTCAACTACAGATGACGTTCATGAAGCACATGGAGCACAAGTCCAATTGCCTTCTGCAATGTAATGCTTAAGGGGAGAACATGTGACGATCATAGAGAATACGATGCTTCGCCTGGTCACTTCAGACCGTCTAATTTGTTTTAAAAAAACAAGAATAAAGAAACAAAGACTGTTCACACGGGAACAGCATCACTTGAGGTGGAATTAAACTATCTGAGAAGTGTGTTTTTATTCGTCGAAATAGTTGGACTCCGCCAGCAAATCGTCGGTGAGTGGACAAGAAGAGGTGCTGAAGAAACCCAAGCAGAGAAGCAAGAATAAACCCACAGGTGGTCTCGTAAAGTCTCTTTTCGTGACCTTCGGTTGGCGAATGTTCATTGCTGCAGTTTTAAAGCTTGTACACGACATCTGCCTTCTCAGTGGGCCAGTAATTTTGAAGTAAGTCTGATTTAACCCCAATCCCGTGTTCAACCAATCGTGCCTCAACGCATGAGGTTTCTGGACGCAATTTTTGGACGTGGTATTTTAAAAAATGATCCACTGTCAGGTATAGGTTAATTCACTCAATACCAGGGCCTAAAATTTCTTTGGGCGCACTTGATTGTGTCGAGATTCAAACAAATTTGTTCCTCATAAGCCTCTGACCTGATCATCGTTGTGCTGCTTGCCTTGACTAATGCGCATGAACTCATTTCGTGGCCAGAACCTGCTCTATGTCTCCTTCCTCAAGTTGCTTGGAAATTCGGCGTTGATTTTTCCCACTTTTTGTTTAAAGTAATGGGTTTTGTAGCATTCGCGTTTGTGGTAACGAAATGTACGGTGTTCTCAATGATACATTGACACGTCAGTTATAGGGATAGTGTGGCTGCCTGTTGAAGCAACCATTTGTGGGAGTTTCACACGTGACTGTAAGAAACACAGGTGTTTTTTTACGTGATAGCGATTGCATTTGACTATTTGTTAGCTAGAGTACGCTCGATGTTACCACCATAGTTAGACTGTGCTACGTGCATTCGGGCTTAATTGCCATTAAAGTCTGTCTACTAAACTCCGAAGCTCACGACTGGATTCACTCGCTCTGTGCGCAGACGCGGCTTCCTTGATCAACTCTTCACATCAGTAGATCTTAAATCGGCACCTCCCACAGGCGCAATTTTCAGGCCTTATTTGTTCGTTTAAAAACCCTCTCAGGTCGAGTTTTGGATCATGTGGCATTTTCGAATCACTTGCTAGAATACTAGTCCTAGAACAGCAAGTGCATTTAGCAATGCGACAATTTGCAGTTCTTGGGTCGGCTCTGCCATGTCAGGTGATAGTAAAGAGTTTGTGGAAGTCACACTTGCCTTCGCCATCACTTACTAATCAACCCTGGCTTCATGAGGCTTTCAGGCCATCGTGAGGTTAAGTCGTTTCAGGGTCTGAACGGTTCAGGTTGAGACCACGTCAGTGTCATTGTTTAATATAAAGCTTGTCTTTACTGATATTTTTCCCATGTCCAATTAGCAGCCTCGCATACTGTCGTTAAACCGAGAAGTTAGATAACGTAGACTAATCTGGGAGGTTAGGGCGTGTTTGTTGGTTGCCGCATAGTCCACCCCCGAGCATGCACGACCTGTCAGTATCTTCTTGGTGAATTCGTGCTAACACGACCGGCCTCTTGACTCGTCACAGGTATCTTCTGGCCTTTCTGGAGCCCGGTTCAACGGAGCCACGCTGGCACGGTTACGCGTACGCCTGTCTAATGTTTGTAACTGCCTTTATCCAATCCATCGTTCTTCACCAGTACTTCCGTATCCAGACCCTCATCGGCATGGACATTCGCACAGTCCTCATTTCTGCCGTCTACCGAAAAGTCAGTCCCTCATCTGCTTTGCTGGCTTTCTTCCCTTAAAGTGCAAATTAATATTCCGGGTGCCCCATTACACCCAAGTCAACTCCTTTGTGTGGATTGGATTTAAACCTGTTTTCGCAACAGAGCTACCTGGCAAATGTATTTCAAAACAATGTATTGTTTTTGAGAGGAATGTCTAAAGAATATCAAGCCAGATGAAATTCGGATGTCAAGCTAGAAATGTGGTATAACGGACCTTATATTATCATTATGTGAGGTATTATTTTACTTGCAATGTGCATAATTGGAGAGTTCATTTAGTCGATGAACCGATTGACAGCTTTGATGAGGAAAGGTAGCCAGACTCAGAAAAATTATAAGCTGTTCACACTGGGCTGATAATAATTCACTTCTTGAAGCCACATTCTGGGTACCGTGACCCAAGGTAGACCTGCGAAACCCAGGACCAGGGCTCTTATCTAACCTGCGTCATAGGCTATTGGAATTAAACGAATCGTCCAAGGAGCTGACATTGGCTTTGCGAACACTGAAGGTGGAGTCTGTTCACCAACCACTCACATTCCGAATTCAATCAAGAGGTTGGTGTTTGGAATCTATCCTTCCGTTATTCCATCCCTCTCCAGAGTCTTCGCCTGAGCTCCGCAGCGCGTTGTAATTCGACCACGGGGGAGATCACGAACCTCATGTCAATTGACGCCCAGCGCTTCTGCGCTCTCATGTTGAACATCCACGCTCTCTGGTCCGCACCCCTACAGGTAGCAGTTGCCATCTACCTACTCTGGGGGGAGCTGGGACCGTCTGTTCTAGCCGGCATCGGAATTCTCCTCGCTATGATTCCTATCAACGCATTTGTCGCAAGGAAGAGCAAGATTCTACAGGTGAGAGGCACCGTGTTGACAGCAGTCAACCATGCAAATTTTACCAAACGTAGTTTGTCTTACCTCAGACAACTTGGTACGGGCAAATCCTTTTCTTTCAACATTTTTAGGGAATTCGCCCATTTTAAAAACAGGCGTCAAGCAAACTTTGTATTAATACAAACAGGACCCTTAAACCTGAGTTATTTCTAGCAGCGGATCCAAGACCAATATTTTCACTTTTGCTGAATATCCTTTAAATCGTGTAATAAAAATACGAATTTATCTAAATCTTATATTCCGGTACCTGTTTCACACAATTTAAGACGTCGCCTGATTTTCTGTTTCAGGAAAAACAATTGAAGACAACAGATTCGCGGATCAAGTTAATTAGTGAAATCCTCAACGGCATTAGAGTAAGTGGCCTTTTCTTCTGGTGAAATCGCGACCTCATATTTTGGTCAGGTTTTGCTTTTGACTTCCTATTCATCAATTATTTTGTAGTGACGTTGGTATTGACCGCAATTGTGCCAACGGGTGAGACTTGAAGCTGTCACAAAACCATTTTTAAGTTCCCACAACTCGCACAGCCACGAACAGAGTGGACGGCCTCGACCTAGTGGGTCAGGAGGGTGTTGTTGAAGTGCCAACTACTAAGACTCCTTGTAACCTACCTTCCTGTCGGCACTGTGGCGTTACAATGAAGAATTTGTGTAGTCGCAGGATTCAATAACTAGAGACACCTTGCTAATCGCTTTGCTGGAGTCGATTAAGGTTCCTTCGTTAGGTTAGATTTGAGCATGTTCTCTCCTCCTCATCCTCCCCTTCTACACTCTCCCTTCTCCACTTTCTTTCTCTCCTAACCCTCCCCCCTAGTTGCTAACGGAATAACTTCAGAGTTGGTATGCTTCCTGCTGCTCAGACTCTTAGGTTTTTTCTACAAGGATATGGTTCTACCGGTGTCTTCAGTGTTTCGTCTGTGTGTCAAAAAAGTCTAACTGACAAAAACGATTATGACGTTGTGTACCTCTGTGCTTTTTTTAAAGGTCCTGAAGTTGTACGCCTGGGAGCCCTCATTCATCCGGGAAGTTGATTCCATCCGCAAAGATGAGCTCTCGCATCTTCGCAAATACCTCTGCTTGGATTGTAGCATCGCGTTTGTCTTTGTCTGCGCCCCTACACTGGTATGCGGTTACCGCTTCCTTCACTCGACTACTTGTATTGCGCTGGCATGTTTGCACGTTCACTTCGCCAGGTTCTGCACTGCACATGCCAAAAGTTGACCCATTGAATTCATTCACCTAAATTTTGCTCGATGGATGTACTTTGGTAGTTTACTTTTCTTCTTTATTCAATATATGCTCAAAACACCCCGCGAATCAAATTAGGCTTGTTTATGCGCAATTGTTGATTCGATGCGGTGAGAACTAGCTACAAATTCTCATTAAAGTAACCATAGTGTGTGCAGACTTCCAAAAGCTGTCATAGCCTTCAACACCCGGAAAGATGGGAATTGAGTGCACTAATTGGAGAATCATTTCGTTGTGGTTCGTAGTTCCTGATCATCACAAAGTGTTGAGTAGCAAATGACCTGATTGTCGGAAAACAAATTAAGCTAAGAACGCACATGTGGATCGCTGTGATTGTGTGTGGTGAATTGCTCCTCCAAATTGCCTGAGATGAATTCAGTTTGCCCGTGGGCGTAAATGGGACTCTGAAGGGTTGCAACGTTGCTGAATATGAGCGTAAATCTGCGTAAAAGTGCGATTTCGAGTTAATGCAAAATTTGTAATAAAGTAGTTCACGCATTCTTCACATGTGTGTGCGCGAGCACGTGATTTAATATGCAGCACCTTTCGCCCACTCGTCTGACCACATGTTGTATAATTGTCTTCGTTACTTGGCCTGAGGCATGATTCCCCGATAATTTTCACCTCCTTTGCATATGCATGTCTATGATTCTTATTTCCTCTCATGCTATATCGTATGCTGTCATCCTCTGCATCTCCTGGGAAGCGATCTGCTTTCACTCAATCACCCACACATAGTCGAGTATGTTCCATCTTGCAAATTTCAACTCGGAATGACTGTTGACTCCCCATAAACGTGGATAGAAACACATTTATTCGTGAGAGTATATTAGCAACTCCGGTTACTCGCTTTCTTGTAAGCAACCTTTGATGTCCCACCCAGGACGTCAAATTTTTTTGCGCTTTACTTTCACGCACGGCACTCTGGGATGAGCATTTCGTATGCCACCATGTAACTTTATTGTGCCTTGCTACAGGTTGCCCTGGCTTCCTTCGTAGTCTACATACTCTCGTCGCCGGACAACGTGTTCAACGCAGAAAAGGCCTTCGTGTCGCTCTCACTGCTCAACATTCTACGCTTCCCGCTCTTCATGTTTCCAACCATCCTCTCCAGTCTCGTTCAGGTGGGCGTGCGTGTGCCTACCCCCTTTTTAATGATTACTTGATGGAGTGCTTTTTGTGAATCCAGCACGTGTTGTAGGTGGAATACATCGGGACGTCGTGGGGTTGTCATCACTGATTGCGGCGCTTTACTTCCACTTTAAAACCCTGTTAACGCACCACAAGCATTGTCCGAGAAGAAGAAGAAATAGAAGGCGGCCAACCTTGGCACGCAAACCGGAGTCAATTTGTAAAAGGCAATGATTAAGTTTACTGCCGGCTATTCCGCCTTCGGACTCGCTGTAGGTTTGTGTGAGATGCGTAGTGTTAGTTTGCATTACCTCGCGACCCTGCTAGTTAGCAGCCTGTAACTGCCCAGGACCAGAGACAAGGCAGGCGACAACGGATCCGTCTATCCATATGCGTCAATCGAGCACTTTGGAACAGCGACTAAGGAAAAGTAATGATGGGTCCTTGACACCAATCTACCTGTGAACAAGCTTCACTCACGCGTAATTACGGCCACAGGGTAACAAGGGTGCGTGCCTTTATGTAAACCAGTGAAGGTTAAGAGGGAGCCACAGTGGCTGGTAAGGCTAGTTTCTACTGCCAGGCATTCGCTCACTGTCTACCACACGTTATACTGCCAGGTTTTGTTGGTCCACGTGTCGTCTAGAGCTCTTTCGCGGATTCGACGGCTTTGTAATATACGCAGACGTTCCAACCAACCACTGCATCGGCGGAATCTCATGTATATGGGTGACGTTTTGCGTCTACAACCCATTAACCCCTTAAAATCGATCAAATTTCATCAAGTACTTCATTTAAGGTTTTAAACCTTGTTCCTAACAGGGTCTCTACCTCTCCGATTCTGACGTGGTCGATTGCACGGTAGAGCCGAAAATCGGATATAGTGTATTGAAAAATTGCATAAAATTGTTATCTCAATGTTAATGGCCTTACTGACTCCAAACGATGATTAGTTCGAACATTGTGGACGCCCGCCCACAATCAAATATGTGATTATTCAGCAAATTCGTATTTAGAAGTGATCTTCCGCTATTGTACGAATATATTAATTCGTGCGTTCACTTATCAATCAGAAGTATCTGGTCCTCCAAGCACAGTTAGCCAAAATTCTGGGGTTTCTACTACCTGTAGGCCTACACGGTCAGGGTGAGTGAAGACCGTCATTTTATGTTTCTTTTTCTAATCAAGGCCTACGTATCGGTGCGGCGTTTGACCAAGTTCCTTCTCAACTCTGAACTCGACCCGTCGACGGTGAGCCATGAGGAGACACCGGGAGTTGCAGCAGTCATTGAAAATGGCACCCTTTCCTGGGCACCAGATGTGGAGCCAGCTATTCAAGAGTAGGTTCTTTTTCTTCCCCCTTTTCTCTCCTTTCTTTCGAACCAACGTACTTCGATATAGTTGGCCAATCGGCAACTGGGACTCCTTGACCAGCATTGTCGCCACTGTTGCCACACATACACCCGTCGTATTTGCGCCGTTCACCATCTTCCACAAGCACTTGGCTGAAGGGTTCTTGTCAACACACCAGCGCAATCTTCCTACCACTGATGTGGAAGCGTTTTCTCACTGTGGCTAAGTATAAATTTATGATCCCAAGGACGCTATCACCCATTGCCTCCTTAGTTTGGTTCTGGCACCAGGTTAAGGCAGGCGATGGCATGGCAACAACCAGTTGCAAAAGCTTTGGTTTGTGTGTAGGATTCACATCGGGCTCGGTTACCCTACGCAGATGCGGAGAAGGTTGAGGGGCAAGAAGGCGACGATGCCGGCTTACAGGTTTTGTTGTATGCTGTGTGCATTAGTCACATACGTGTACTTAGGTCAATAGCACACCGGAGCGCGTGGACGCAGTGGGGCTCGGAAAGCAGGTAGTGAAAGGAAAACATGCATTAGAGGTGACCCTATATTCGACAAGGCATCATTTCAAATTTCTCTCATGCTTTCGTCCGCCCACCTAAATTACCCGTCAAGAAGGCCTAAAAGAAGGCAAGGAAAATGGACTGGGGGGCTGCCCTAGTGGTCACGCTTGTTAGCATCTTACTCCCCACCATTGATGCAATTCAACCACTGACTGAGCATTTGTTTATGTGGGCAAGAAGTGACGACGCCACTCCCCGCCTCGTCTCGTCACTTCACTCTTGATGATTGGGGGAATTAAGGCGATGGGCACAGAGTGGGATTTCATGGAGATGTTTGGTTTTAGTGTCACCATCAACTTCGTGGAAGGCCAGTCGACGGCTATCGTTGGTCGCGTGGGAGCTGGCAAGTCCAGCCTTTTGAATGCTCTTCTGGGAAACATGGAATTAATCTCTGGTCGCGTCAACATCAAGGTAATGTTTGCTGCATCCTTAGTGATGGAGGCATTGTTCTATCAGGCACGGTATCCAATGCGTGAATAGACGTTGCTATGCCGTGACATTCTCACGCAAACCTGGAGAAGCCCCATCAACACTAGTTACTCACAGCTTCTCGTAGTGTTTTCCGTTACAATAATAGAGGTGTAGAATTGATCGAGCTGCAGTGAGCGAAGCAGTGGTCGACCACTGCTTTTATCTCTTAACCATTGGCCTCTAAGTTGAAGTCCTTTTGGGTTAGCGAGCTCAACCTCCACGCGTTTTCTCGCCGCAGGGCAGCTTGGCACTGGTGTCGCAGCAGGCGTGGATATTCAATGGCACACTGAGAGACAACATCCTCTTCCACAAACCCTACGACGCCGAGCGCTACGCCAAAATAATCAAGGCCTGTGCCCTCGAGGCGGACATCAAAATCCTGTCCGACGGTGACCTGACCGATATCGGTGACAAGGGCGTCAATTTGTCTGGAGGCCAGAAGCAACGCATCAGGTAGGCTGTTGTTGTCCAACTTTTAAGCAACGCTTTTTCAAATGCTACTCAAAATTGGAAAGTCGTTAATACCTTATGCATTGCAGC